GTGAAGGTGAAGCATTTACCATAATGTTCCTTCGGTTAGGCTTTTGAAGTAAATTCCTCATGTTTCTCTCTCAGATAACCTTTTTTAGTGTAAAGCTAATATTTTTATGAGCCCTGCTCTAGTTAAATTTGTTTTTGTAACCCTGATATTAGCATAGTGGAGATTTTCTTGGAGTTTGTATTGTCAACCCCGTAAATTTTCTCTCTTTTGCTTGCTACATTATTTCTATTATTTGCCAATCCTTGTTCACGCAAAGGGTGAAACATGGGTGTTTTATTGAATGGGTATGGTCTTGATCTTATTATTCTGTAATACATTTTCAATTAAAGCTGACATAAAATGGTATTATGAGATTATAGCCTTGCTAAATCAAATGCTCTGTCTAACTAACATGTTTCATCCAGGCATTCCTTTGGTTCAAATCAGTTCAAGTTGCAAATAAGGAGGCAGAAGAGCAAGACCGAAGGGATGGTTACATGTAATCGTGGCATTTTCTTCGTACTTTCATTGTTATTCCTGAGGATAAATTCCATTGTTTCCTAATTATACATGATAACTGATTGTTTCTTCTCTGCATTTATTTTTAATGGGTAAGCAAGGGGATATAGATGCTGCAATGTAAATGAAAATCATCCTTCTATATAATGCATCAATTTTGTAATTGATCAATTGAAAGTTTCAAGTTTAAGAAGGGGTTACACCATTGTCAATAGTGGCATGCTTTATAGGTAGGTTTTTGCTCGATTTCTGCTGTAGTTGCTTTTTTCTTTTGCTAGTCTTTTGCTGTAGAAACTTGCAATTGGAGTTTTTAAGGCATTAATCTTGTGTTGAGCCATGATACGTTGTATTCTATGCGTTAACAAAGTGAGTTTTTAAAGGTGGAATGCTGCATTTAGGTTCTGATCTGTGTACATAATGGAACAATAGTGATTTCTTCGGTAAAGTGGACTGGATTCTACATTGGATGTTGATTAGACACTCCAAGTTCTACTATTTTATATCAAACATGTCTGGGTAGTCTGATATAAATGTGATGAAAGGAAAAAACCATCTGAGGAAATTCTTGAATAGGAGGAATAATGTGATAGATGGAACTACAAGATGTTGGATCGGACTCGGGAAATTCTTGAGGGAGCAAAACACATTTAAGGTGGTTGGAAGATATAAAAAAACATGTTTCAAAACTTGTCATAATTAAATTTTATTAATTAAAATAGACAATAAAAATATTTTATTAATTAAATAAATTAAAGTCACAACACTAAACAATTTATGGTCACAATTACTTGCTAGTAACAATCAGAAAATATCATAGTCACACATCACAAGTTTATAAAATATAATTTATTTATTTGTCATAAATTATCAAATTAATTGATCACAAATGAAATCAGTCTTTAATTGCTTCTAATCAACTTCAAATTAGCTCGAAATCGTCTCTTTTTGCGTCAATTGCATCCAAGTTCAATTTTTACTTACAATTAACACAATTTCTCTAAATATTTTTACCTACAATTATCACAATTTCTCTATTAGGTAAAAATTCGCTCAGTTACTCATAACTTATCAAATACTCGAAACTTAAACTCTTGTTCATTCTTAACTAGATTATCTACTTTAAAAACTATCAAACAAAAACAAAAATCAATGCATCAGATAGTTTGCCATCTTGCCTCATGTTTTGAAACTACTCGAATAATTAAAAAAATGCTTCTAAATCATGTTACTATAATTATTTTTTATTTATCCAATGAGCGATGTGGGTGTGCATAGTCAATTCAATTATTATAATCGTTAGGTTGGTTATATCCTGATCCTCAATAGTCAATTATTTCCTTTATATCTCGTAGGATACACATCCCCAAACTTGTTATCAATCTTTCACCTCGGGTGTTTATAATAAGGTTGCATTCATTATTTTCAAGCTTAAATTTGGTTAGGTTTAATGAATGGAAGCAACTATCTCGACATGTGATGATTCTCCTTGTACTTAATTGTTGATAAGCATGATTTTCACTCCTATTCAAGGCTCTCAAAGTGAATATTTGGAAATCAAATTAATGAGATTGCTACTTAATTTGGTTAATATCGATTGTTGTAGGTATATTCAGGTTTGGATGTCTTTTGATGAAAAGAAGTGGAACTTGGCTAGAAAGGGCGAAAAAAGAAGAATTCAAAGTTTGGGGACTAAATTACAAATATCTAAAAGTTGATTCGGACCAAGATATGATGCTTGAAGATCACATAGAACATATTGGATAAAATTAGAAGACAAGATATGAATACTGGTCGAAGAAATGATTTAAGTTGAACAATTGAGCAAAATCGAGGAACAAAGTGAACACTTTCAAAGTTATAGGTGTGTGATCGCACCTCCTATACGGTTGCAATCGCAACCTTTCAAGAATCAGCAAAAGAACATGACATAATATGCATGTGCAACTGCAGTATGCCCGGCCGATCGTATAAATATAATTCGGCCACATGGGATATTTTCCTTTTTTAATGAAAAGTCTCTATGGAAACCATCTTAGACGCCAATTTTAGCCACTATAAGTACAAAACATCATCCAACATTTGAAGACACCTCTCATATCATACTATACATTAATTCTTGTGAACCAAGGGAGGCCAATTGTCATTATTTTGGGAGAAATCAAGAGGCAAGATACAAGATATTAATCATTTGAAGATTAAATCTTTGTTTTGGGTAAAGTAGAAGGAAAAGCTGGAGAATAACCAAGGATGATTGAAGAGATTCAAGATTTCATGGCTTCTCCTCTCTTTCTTCACATATCTCAAATCCAAGTGATATATTATAAATCAAACATGATTTTTTGTAATTTTGTAATGCTATATTATATTTTAGTCACTATGACATAGATGAACCCTTGTTATAAAATTTTAATGTCAATTTCACTACTTTGATACTTAATAAGTGTTTATTCTTGGATAATTGTTATATAATTTAATGCTTCTCAATTACTTGATCACTAATTGGATTAATATGTGATTTTTGTTAGTTTCGAGTGAAATAATGAGAAAGATAATATGTTATGACAATTGTTGTGAGGTCTGACAAATGATAGAGATATACTGTTATATCTTCATGTTTGAATTTTTCATAGAAATATATTAAGTCACATGAGAGGATATGTTTAATTATAATCGAGAGGCATTATTAAATGAATTGGGAACATTGATAAATAAGAATGAATAAATATTGGCATGGTATGGATTGCGTTAAATGAATTAATAAAGGGGATTCAAAATCTTAGTGAGTATTCAAACAAAGTTTACAAAAGCTTTCTTAATTTACCAAGTTTATAAAGCAACGGAAATGGGCATAGTGGGAATAATGGATCGAGCCCAAACTCAAGACCATGTTACTTGATTAAATATGTCAAATCCAATTGAATAATTGATGTCAAGTCGACATATGTGACACCTCTCTATCATGCATGTCAGGTAATTTATAAATATAATATGAAAGAAATTGTCCTATATGATGTGGCACATATTTACTTAATTATTGGGATTAGTCAAAAGTTAGAATCCTAAATAGTTTTGGTAAACAAAATTCAAAATCAATAAGTGAAATCATGTCCTATTTAGATTTAATCTTTGATGGAAAGGAAACTGGTCCTGTCTCTGCCCTATATAAGGCACACAATATCTGTCACTTTTGTGCAGCTTAATTGAGAGTTAAGCAAGAGAAACCGATTTCTAGTGCCTTCGTCCTTCTCTAAAGATTGTTTTCATGGATTTAAGCATGTCAATCCTTTTCTGTAGTAGACTAGTATTATAAGTGAGAATCATGATTATTTAAGTTCTTTGGTATCATAGTTAATTTTACTTGTGTATCAGAGCATGAATTTGAATTCTCATGATTTTTAGTTTATGTTGTTGCTGTAAGATTTGCAACCTGCATCATAGTTTCTTTACTTGAATCTAGAAAGTCATGATTAATTGGTAATTATAGACTCGTTATTCATAGAATCCTCTGTTGTTTCTTTGTGTTAAAACGAATTCAATTCCTTTTGCAATTCCCTTGCACAGTTTTTCTTTTCTGGTTTCGATATTATTTTCAGATTTTAAGGGATTGAATATTTCTAACAGCATGTTATTATCATTTTGAATTCACATTGCTTAGCAGATTTAATGGACAAAATGGTTCTGTATCTTTTTTGGTCATTGAAATGTTTATTGGAAAGAGAGAACTTTTTTTTTTTGGTCTGCACTGATTCAAATGTGAAGGAAGAAAAAGCCATTTTCTTTCATTGTTAGTTCCATTTATTTGAATTCACGTAACCTGCAATTTTGTCTTTTAACGTAATTCATAAAGTCGGCCACTATGCCATTCAGTTTTCAATGTCTTAATGTGCTACCTTATTATGAAAAGTGGGTTGACAAATTACATGTTTTCTTAGTTTTAAATGACTTATGAGCAGGGGCGGGGCCAGGAAATATTATCAGTGCGGGCATAATTTAACCCAGGGACGGACCCACATGGGGTCAAATGACCCCACAAAATTTTGTCCCTGTTTTTTTTTTTTTTTAACAATCTAATTAGATGCACACGTTGAGATGCCAAATGAAACCAAAATATTGCATTCTTAATATCATTTCGAAGTGCTCATGGCCTAGTTTTTCACTCATTAATGACATGAAAAGTGGTCAACTATAGCAAAAGTTATGACATGTTAAAGTAGGGTGTTTGAAACTAGTATTTTGAGAATTTCAATAATATCCTAACTTTAAAATTCGTTTGCGATCATGTGCTATCTGAATCCACAAATTGTTTATGCCGTGTAAAAGTTTGTTTCGAAAACTACATTATTTTCATATCGAATGGTCCAAACGGATATCGAAAATAGTTAAATATGTATCAAACGTACGCCTCAAAAAAGACGTCTAACTTGTTTTTTCTTTTAAAAAATTCAATTAATTATTATTTTTGCACGATAAATTTTTCAATATAATTCGGAAGTCTTACATGAAATATGACGTAAAATTTTTAGGATTGTTACGGATTAAATGCAATTTGAATTACTTTCGAATTATATTTGCTTTAAATTTGAATTTCATTTACTTCATGAACTAAACTTGAATTTTATTTCAATTCATTTAATTTCTATATCCTATTTAATTTACTCAATGTTAGCTCAGCATTTGCCAATAAAATGATAAACAAAACTTTATAAGTAGCAAAATTTATTTAATAATATTAATAATAATGTAATTATACGACGTTTTCAAATTGTCAAAATACATATAAACTTATTTTCATTGATATTATGTTGTTTATTAAAAAATTATTTTTAAAATTTTGACCCCACAATATTAAAGGTCTGGGTCCGTCCCTGATTTAACCCATGTCGAACATTGTGTTTTGATCATGAATTTAATGATGATAAAACTATAAAACAAAATCATGGATTTGGACCTAAAAATAAAACCCATGTGAATTAAAACATGCTTTTATTCCACCTCCTCTGTTGATTAAAAAAAAAAATGTTTGGGCCTAAAATTTGAGCAACGTGGCTCCGCCATTGCTTATGAGCATACTCTTTTCTGTTAAATTATGGTAGTATGTTATATCAATATCGAATGATGTTGCCAAAAAACGAATTTGATTCATTTTCAGTCAGTGCCATCTATGTTATTGGCCATGCATAGTTTTGATGATTATGATTATTGTTGAACTGGC